TTGGCTGGCGCGGCCGGCAGCTGCTGGGTGACGATGGACAGTGAGTTGTTTGATAACCTCGGGGAACGGCGGTATGGCAACGGTCTTCAGCTGTGGAATCGGCTCGTCTGGCTGTAGTATTGCGACGAATCCGGCTACATCATAAATCTTGTCGTGTTATTTTTCTCTTTTGACGCCTCGCAGCTTTAGATGGCGGAGATGGACATGTGTTTCCTGGCTGCGTTTTCTTCTCTCTTGTCGATTCTCTCAATCCAGGTCTTTGATAACTTAAATCGCCTCTGACCGTTCATTGCTATTCACGTTGATTATCGTATCGCCTTGTGCCCATTGCAAAGCCGGTCCACACTGACATCAGCTCTGATCCCTCTACAGCATCGTCATCGCCGTCATTCTCACGTGTCAGGGGGTATAGAAGATGAGATGAAAAATGGATAGAGGCAAGGCACCAGATCTCGAAGAGAGAGGTCGCGACACGCAAAAGTAAGGTAGCCCAGGCAACACGGGGTTATATCGTTGATGTTATTGGGATGGAAGTCGCTGGATGGAGTATACTTACTAGCTCTTGCCTAGTTCTGTCTTTTACCAACAGGACGGCACATGACGGCAATGAGTTTCTAAACATAGGCGACTTTAAGATGTATGGGTGAATGCTTTTAGGGTAGCCGTTGCTTTCAGAGTTGGGTAGCGGTGTCACGTTGATTACGCTGCCCCGCCTCTGGTGAAGGGGATGGCCCTGTTTGGTATTTTGGACGAGAGGGGACTATGCGATGCTACGGGAACGCGTGCATGGGCATTTATAGAATATGAATTCTCAAAAGGGGGTATCTATTTGATTTGGTTTATTCTCATGTGTAGGGGGGACGAGAGTGAGTTCTTGACTCTGGAGATTGGTTCGTCAAAGTATGAAGACGAAAGTGAACCTCTTGTTCGTCGTAAACCCCGTCCGAACCCCGTGCGTTTGTTTGGCTGGATGAGCAATGACAATAACACGACATTGTGCGTGAAGGAGTGTGAGGGCGTATGTGTTTCTGATCTCATTCCATTCCGTCTATGAGTCTCGTCCAACTCTCAGTCCATGTCAGGTGACATTTCTGCGATGAGCATAGCTTTCGCTAATGTGCTATGATTTCGCAAAAGACTAAAGGACTGAATTTACGCAGGGCAGGTCTATGGTAGGGCAGCGCATGTCAGTGTATGTTTACTGATGTAAGAGGGAGGGGAGGGGCTGTAAAGTTCAGACGAGGTGAGGTGAGGTGAGATGATTGGTATTGATATGAGTGAGGGGTCTAGAAGGGTGAGGCTTACAGCGCCGCAAGAGGAGCAGGTCTTTGCGGTAGAGGCAGTGGCGGCGCCGCACTTGGGGCAGGCGTTGGTGTGGGCGTTGGTCATGGGCTGCATGTTTGCGGTTGTTTGGTTTGTGATGTGCTGTTGGTAGTTTTTGTGTGTCTTGTGTGTAGATTTGTGAAGATGAGACGGGAGAGAGAGGGAGGGGAGAGGAAGGCAGACGATGGTGGAAAGCGGGGTTCTTATTATTCTTCAACTTGTTCAGTCCGCGCGCGAGGCGGCCGCGGCGGCGGCGTGGTTCAACAATCTGCCTATTCCCCTCCCCTTCGACCAACGCAGAGGCTACCCTGAGATACCACACTGAATTTTTGCTCGTGACCCTCTTTGACTCTCCAGCTATCGGGCCTGTGGTGGCTTTGGAAAGGTCCCCTACCTTCTTACGGTTGGAGTCTGTAGTTCGGGAGTGGGAAGGGAAGGTAGGTAGTGGAGGTGGTGTGGGCTATGTGAGCTTACGGATGGGTTGTCATGCGAGATGGACGGCTTCTCGTTGGCTAGGCATGAAGAGGGATGGGGGGGGGGGGGCACTGGAGGTGAACGCTTTACGCTTTCCTCTGAGAAGCTACCTTATTAGTAGGGAGAGGGTCGCTTTTTGGGAAGCGGTGGGCTGGCGGGCTGGGTGTCGTGCAGCGGAAGAGGGGACCCTATTCCCTTGTTTTGGGGCGGTCTTGGTTAGCTGTCATACGTTCGGGATGGGCCTTGGAGCGATTCGTCGTCGTGTACTTGGGTAGGTGTGCGGTAATGGGTGAGGTGGTTGGCGGAGGGTGGACGGCGGCGGCGTCGTCGGCGGCGGGCGCGCGATGCGTGTATAGCGCAAAGTTTTAGGTAGGTAGGTAGGCAAGTATGTAGGCAGGCGGGCAAGCAAGTGCGAAAGAGATTGGGTGGCTGGAACATTTCGGACGACTGAGCGTATCTTTGGCAGTTTGGGATGCCAGAAGGCGTCCAATGATTTTGGTGACAGTGGTTCGGAAACGCCCATCTGGGCATCCGAAAGTAGGGCGACAGTTGATGCGTCGAGGTAAGTTTAGTAGGCAAAGTTGTTGGCATCAGCTATGCATGTTGATCGGATGTCGACAAGTGCGGTTTCAGAGAGGTTCTGTAAGAGTCGACATGCATCAGAAGAGTGATGTGACTGGTCGTTTGGAGATATCTGCAGCGCCGAGAAGCGCAGACGGGAAACTAAATGCACTTCTCGTACTTCCATTCTTCAGAGAGACGTTTGGGTCGTTGCCTACCCGGAACGATGCAGTTTCTGGCACGTTGTAGCAGTTCACGGTAGAATGGAAGGCGAGATGGGCAGCAAGTCATGCGTTGGAAAGTCCGACGGAAAGTAGGTAAATTAGTCGTCCATACCTTTACCTCACTGGGCAAGGCACTACCGGCGTTACCTTCTGCCCTTCGGAAGCGGCCGCCGGTGTCGTGTGGACAATCCGTACCTGTCGGGTCGGGCGACTCGGGGCGTGAGATAAGCGACCGTTTATCCCGTGCGCCCCCGTGCTTTTCTGCCAAGGCCGCACCGTTCACAACTGACACCACACGCCCCCAATCCCCGGATCCTTACCCCGTTTCTGTCAAAACGACCAAACAACGCCCGAGAGGATCAGAGGCGGTGGGGGTCACACACGCATCGAGTTGATTCACCCGAAAGGCGTGCACCGACCGAAGAGAGGCTACGTACTCTCATGGACCATAGCCAAAGTCAAGTCGAAAATCATGGAGCTGCCCAGAAAACGGGCACCGAGACGAAGGGATGATCGTATCATACTCCACTTTGTTCGTCAACCCTCAAATTCACAAGCAACAAGAATGCCCCTTTTCTGTTGCCAAATTTCAACCTCTCGATATTGGAAGCATGATGTTCCATTCATTAATTCTTTCCCTAGGACTATGACTGCTTCTACGCCTCGGTTTTTGAGAACCGGGACCCCCGGCTAAAGGCGCTGCCCTTGGGAGTGAAGCAGAAGAACATCCTGGCCACGTGCAACTACGTCGCCCGCAAGCAAGGGGTCAGGAAGCTCATGCTCATCACGGAAGCCAAGCGGCTCTGCCCGAATCTCGTCATCATTGAGGGTGAGGACCTGACGCCCTTTCGAGACACGAGCAAGAAGCTTTTCGGCTTCATGAGAGGCTACTCGTGGAACCGCAAAGCGGAGAGGTTGGGGTTCGATGAAGTTTTCATGGGTGTGTGCTTTTGCACCTTAAAACCGCGGGGAAAAGGTCAAGTTGGCTGACTATGGACAGACGTCACGGATATTATCAACTACAACATGTTCTGCCTCAACCGGGCTTCACTATCAGAGTCATTCTTCCACCTTTCCAAGAAGGATCCAGAAAAGGGGTTTCCATGTGACTTGACCAAAGTTGCGGGCTGCGTATATGGAAAGACACCTGGTACGGGAGATCTCAACAACCCTGCCTACGTTCGCCTGCTTCTGGCGAGCCACCTGGCCTTCCATCTGCGCATGAAGCTCGAGGAGGACTTTGGCTTCACGGCTTCGGTCGGAATATCGACCAACAAGCTGCTCAGCAAGCTCGTGGGGAGTGTAAACAAGCCGCGTAACCAGACGACTCTGATGTTTTTCGACGATGCTGTTGTCACCGAGTTCATGGATGCGCATTCGGTTAGAAAAGTCCCCGGCATCGGCTTCAAGACGTCGCGCGCGCTTGAGGAAAAGTACCTCGCGACGCCCCTGGGACCCGACGACGCCGACAGGGAGACATCACCACTAAAAGTCTACGACGTGCGGACCCACGAGCAGACTTCGCCCGACGCACTGGAGAAGCTACTCGGTGGCCCTGGTTCTGAACGAGGTGTTGGAGAAAGGGTGTGGGGCCTCTTACACGGAGTCGACGATACGGAGGTCAAGGACGCGAGCGATGTGCCGTCACAGATTAGCATTGAGGACACGTACAAAGGATTGGAGAGTATGAGTCAGATTGAAGGCGAGCTACGCAAGATATCTGCTTCTCTCATCCGGCGGATGCGGACCGATCTCCTGACAGACGACAACAGCGACGACTCGATCGAGCCGGGCAGTCAGAGATGGATTGCGCACCCCAAGACACTAAGACTGTCCATTCGGCAATGGCCTTCTTCTGATGCGCCACAAGGGACGTCGTGGCATTCGCATCCGGATTTTCAACGTATTTCCCGATCCCAGCCTATTCCTAACTTTGTCTTCAACACAAAAGAGACACCTGATTCCTTGGCGGAACGGCTGACGACAGAGATCTTGCTTCCAACGATGAAGAAGTTCTTTCCGGCTGGTCATAAGTGGAATCTGCAACTTATGAATGTCTGCGTTGCGAATTTGGCCGCTAGTGGTAGTGAGGCTGGGCCAGGTGTAGGGCGGGACATCTCTGTCATGTTCCGCAAGCAGGATGACGTTCTCCGACAGTGGAAGATTGATACGGCCATCGTGGAAGACGATGGCGATGGTGATGGTGATGGTGTTAATGATGCTCAACGCCAGTCAATCTCAGATCATGAGGTTGAAGAGATGGAGGTGGAAGAGTTTGACGACGACAGCGGATCATGGGAAGGCGACGAAGTGACGGCACGGTGTCCGCTGTGTGGTCACTCCATACCGCCATTTGCCCTCGCTGCTCATGCAAGATTCCACGACTTTGAGGACTGAAGGAATTCTGGGTCTGTTCTTTTAGAACGCCCAAAGGTTGCAGTACGCGGACGGGAGACTGGGAAGGTCTGACGCGAAGGGGGAGTACGTCGACGGCAGAGACACCATGTCCCTGGTTGGCCTTGGGACACCATCTTCTGCGTCGCAGAAGGTTTCCTCCTCTCCTTCGTCGAAGGAGTAGACTGTGGACCAGTCGTCGTCGTTGTCGTCGTCGTCGTCGTCGTCGTCGTCGTCGCCGTCGCTGCTGATGCTGTGTTCGCTGCCATCGCAGGTCTCATCTGAAGAGTAGACGCTGGAGGGTGCGTTGGACCTAGCTGAGAGGCGACTAACAGCGCCTTCACGGAAGGGGTATCTCTCTCCGGGGTTGAAGGTGCCGCTGAGGTCTTGGATTACTTGCAACTCTGGCTGGTGGTCGACAAGGGTCTCGTCCGAGGACATCCAGTTATGAATGTCTGCGTTCCTCACAAGGGGCTCAGGGATTTTGCGTCTGAGGATCCTACACCAGAGGCACTGTTTCTGGCCGCCGTTTCTGCTGCTGCTGTTGCTGCTATAGCTGCCGACACGAAGTCCCTTGGCTTTAGCCTTGAGAGTTGTGTAGCGGTTGTGCAGACGGATGGCGAACTTGGTGGCCATTGTAGATGGGGATTGTAGTAGGTAACATGAGCCCAGACCTGACCAGATCAAGTGTGTGGTGGGAAGGACGATTGATTGTGAATGGAGAGAAGTAAACAGGGGAGTTGTATGTGTATAGAGTAGGATGCACCATAGCATTCTTGGGAGTTATTTTGGGCTGATATCCTTGTTTATATACCATGGATCGATATCAGAGTATCCAGAGAGGTGTGTATGGCCTAGTCTGCAAAGGTCCCATGAGTTGAGTAGGTTTCGCAACGGCGTGGGAGACTATCATTGTGGAAAGTTTGGCGCGGAAGGTTCTACAATACAACGGTTCAAGGCCGCATATGAACATGCTCGAGATGAGGCAGGTGCCTCATGACATTCTGCCGTACTGGGGCAGTTTGAACGAAAATGTTTGAGACCCTGTTGAGGAGACCATGATGTACGGCTATGGCGGTTTACTTTGATCAACGGATTCAACCAAGGGGGCAGGACAAGTGCCTGTATATAGGATATCTAGAACAATATAGATAGAAATTGGTTATGAAATCTAGCTTCCTTCCACTTCTTCGGTAAGCTCCACAAGGAAAAGGGACACATGGAGGCTACCATATGTACGGAAGGGTTGATACTGAAAACGATGCTTTCGGACTTTGAAGGTCCAAGGCCATTCTTCTCATGAAACTGACGGAGGAGACATACCTTGTGTGAGTTCCTAGTTACCGAAGAAACTTAGAAAGAATGGTATTGCTTTTTCTAGGTACCTTGTCATTGAGGACATCCAGTATTGGACTTCGTGAGTTACAAGTGCGGCTAGGTGGCGTTCAACTTATGGGGTCCTGCTTATGAGACGAGAACAAGTCCAATTCCTTACCCCTGGTTAAAAGACTTAGGAACCTAATCATCATGACACCATTACAGCTCAAGAGATGGTGGAAACATGGAGGAGTGGTTCAATGCCAGAGAGGCCCAAGTTCTCATGGAGGCGAGCTAGCAACACCATGCCTCGAAACCGTGTGTGAAGACAGATAAACACAATCCGAGTCCTTGCTTGAGCAGACGGATCTCCTCGGCGTATTAATTTCTATCAACATCTTCAACGATAACAGCGGGAGCGTGAGAGACGGAGACTGATCCAGACTGGACTCAAAAGAAGACACGACCGAGATTTCATGGTGGCGTAATCTGTACTTGCAGACCACATATCGTTCATTCTCCCCAAGGAGGTAGGTGAGCATCAGTCGCCGGACCTCCCACCCTTCCTTCCTTCCTTCCTTCCTTCCTTCCTTCCTTCCTTCCTTCCTTCCTTCCTTCCTTCCTTCCTTCCTTCCTTCCTTCCTTCCTTCCTTCCTTCCTTCCTTCCTTCCTTGAGGCATCAACCGAGGGTATATGTTCCACCCAAACGCGTGTTACTGTCACCAGCACCCATCCGGATTGGCCGGGTGGTTTATACTCTGACGCAGAGATGTTAAAACAAATACTCCAGTGAAGCCGTGCTGGCCCGAGGGGCGCGCTGTTCGAATCTGGGCAGGGGCGTGAATTATAAGGTCAGTTATCCCCCTCCCTACATCCTTTCCTTTTTCTTTTTCTTTTCCTTTTTTCTTGTTAGTTTTCAACATAAGTTTGAGATGTACTGTGATCCTACCTGGGTGTATGGTTTTGCTCAAAAGAATTCCTCTTTCGCCAGGTGGGAATTGACAGGTTGATATGGCTCGAAATTCGGGAATGCCCTCGTCCGGGAGAAAGTCTCCGCATCACCAAATCGTTTCTCTCCAAGACAAATGTGGCAGTAGCTCAGGGACTTTCCACCACCTCACGGACCTAGATGAAGAAAAGAACAACCAAAGTCGTCTGCCTCTAGGCGTCCAGCCTAGTGCCACAGAGTATCACCCCTTATACAAGATGCGGAAGATATGGGTGCACATTTGACTCATAGACAACCATAGTAGTATAAGCGCGCATAGTATTTTATTGAATGTTATCACTCTGAAGACCTTTGATCCGGCATGTCGAGATGACATCTGGTAAAATCGTTGAAACGAGATATCAGTAAATAGACTTTTATAACAAGAAACCTAGCCAACGCTACGTTACAAAGACACAGCCGTCTGCAGATCATACAGCCCATCCTACATTCAACTTGAAATCAAACTGAACTGGCCCAGAAACCTCATCCAAACATCCCCCCACAAAACAGAATGGCATAAGTCGTTACTGTCATATCTTCATTCACCTCCCCCCCCCCCATATTGTTTTCTTCCATCCATCATCAGTGAACCCCCAAATACAACCTCCCGTCTTTGAATAGACGAAAAGGTATCCATGAAACAAATCACCGGAACGACCGATGAGATTCCCCATCAACGCTTGACCCCCTCCCCCCAGCAGACCCCTTCCGACTATACACGTCCTCCCACGTAGGACCCCTATCACCACCGCCGCCGCCGCGCCTTCCATTCCCTGGAGACCGCGGCGACTCATCCCTCGACTCTGAACCGCGATGCCCGTCCCTATCCCGACCAGAATACACCCCGTAATTGGCATCAGCCCCGCCGCGGATATCATACGACGAAGGCGAAGGCGACGCGGCGCCGCCACCGCCGCTGACGTGGTGCTGCGAGATGGAGGGAAGCGACGCGGTATACCTATTCGTCGGCGGCGGGCTTCGCTGTCGTTGAGAGGAGGTCGAGTGCCGTCCGACTGGAGGGGGAGGCAAGTCACGATGTCTGGGCAAGGAAACGCCCGCGTCCGATTTGGCGCGCGGGAGACGTGCCGGGTGCGGCTCGACGCGGTGAGCGCCGCGGTCGTATGTCCTGGATCGGTGCGGCAGGGATGCGGGGCGCTTGGGGAGGTCGCTTCCGGACCGGCGGGTGTGCGTGTTGGCCTCGGGGAGCCTGGTCACGTCCTGGGGCGGTGGAGCCGGTCGAGATTTCGGGATGGATGGCAGGGGCGGCGCGACGTCCTCGAGGCAGTCCCACATGGCCTCGTCGATGATCTTGCGGACCTTCATATCGTGGGTCTCTGGGAAGAGATGCCGTGATAGCTGTCTGGGGAGTCTCTCTGGTTTGCCGTTGAGGAGGGGTCCGTCGGCGTTGATGGGGAGGGCGGTCATGATGGCGTGTAGACGCCTGGCTTCCGGGTCTGGGTAGGCGAGGATGTTGCTGATCATCCATTTCGCGAAGCCTGCGGGAGTTAGACCGGGGATGTTGGGGTGAGATCTAGGTGCGGCCTGGACGAGGTGGTATTGGCAGTCTAGATCTTGGTACAAGAATTCGATTCGCTCCAATGCGTCTTTGGACCGAGACTTGAAGATGTCTGGTGAAGGGTCAGCAGCTGTTTACGGAGTATGGATGAGAAGGCTGATTACCTTCATATCGGAACCTCTCAGGCTCGACTTTGTATTTGGTGTACAGCATCAGCATCTTATCAGGAGTAACGACGAGTGTGTCTGGCGACCCAAACTCCGTAACCTGAGGCTCATGTTAGCCGCAAAGAAACTTATGAAGAGGGCGGGAGATGGTGTACCATAAAATTAGCGAGGCCCCTGAGCATGCTGTTCAGTCGATTGGTAGGATATCCCTCCGAGTCAAACAGCACACCCCACGCCTTGTCAACACTACTCAACTCAACTCGCGGCGACGTAGGAGCAGTCGGCGAGACCTCGTCTTCATTATCCGTTTCAACACGCGGTTGGCAATGAATGACCGGTGATGCCCTCTTTCTAAAGTGAACCCCCCTTTGCTGTGGGCTGATGGGCGGAGTGGACTGAAGCGCAGGCACGGGAACAGACGTTGGCGGCGACGGTTGCTGAGGCGGAGGAGGAGGCGCCGACGAAGGCTTTGCGTGTGCGAGCTCCGGACTGCGATCTCGTGGCGATGAGTTCTTGGAGGCGCCGAATGTGTCGATAATGGAAGGGGGCGGGCTGGGGTACGCCGGCGTGAAGGAGGAATTCTGGCTAGATAAGGGGGGGAACCGAGCTGCGTCGACGGGGGTGCCGGTCTCATTTGTCTTCAGTTGAGCGACTTGAGCGACTTGGGCAACTGGACAACATCATCAGTAAACTTCAACTTTTAAGATACAGAACTCGATGCAACTGACCTTCTTCTTTGATAATCTTCCTCAACTCCTCCATCATGTCAGACGGCATGCCACCAAGACTATCGCGAGGTTTCGAAGTGAGCGTCTCCATAATCAAGCTCTCCGAACCCTGCTGCTGCTGCGGTTGCTGCTGCTCATCCACCTGGTTTCCGTGACCATGGCTCCCCTTTTGTTGTCCCCAGCCGTACTCCCCAGCAGCCCGCCTTGGTGACAGCGGGGAAAGCTCTTCCGGCTCCGGGCGGCCCGCCTGATCTCTCGGCAGGGACCAGTTCGTTGTGGTGTTCAGCCGTGGCCGCATGGCCTTGCCAGCCGGGGTCGTAGTCATGGCGGGTTGCCGGTTGCCGGTTGCCGATGTTATTGTTATTGGATATGCCGTCTGCCACAGCATGCGAAATTCCGCAAAGCTCAGACTAGATCGTTTTGTACGATGGCAAATAACAAGGACTGTGTAAGATTGGATGGAACCAGAGCGATTGGGCTGTTGGCGCGATAGAAAGGGTAGCCGTATATACCGAGCAAATAGACGACGAAAAGTGGCAGACCGAAGCGACGGTGAAATAGACAGCAGAAAAGGCGGGAATAGTTATAGACCCATACCCTCTTCGGACGCCGATGGGACACTTGAGAGGGCTCCCCAATGAGATGTTGACATCTATTCCCCCTCGCGTCAGGTGGATTGATAAGGTGCAGCACGAAGGTATGAAAGGGTCGATCACGGAGGCAACACCACGAGCGGCATGGGTGATGCGGAAAAGTGCATTTTCAAAATGCGAGGGACAAGAAAGTGGTGTTCCCCTCACTCAGGAGACAGGAGGGAGAATTTAGCATAATAGATGCGAGAGAAAAGGAAATCAGCAGGCTGTGTATACGTGGTGGTAGCTCGTACAAAGTAGTCGGGCGAAGGCAACGTAGAGGCC